TAGGAATGTTAGAAGGGAAGGGTAAGCTGCCACATTCTTCCTCCAAGGCACAAAATATATCACAAGAGGATGTGACTAGCTGGAAGAACGTGACACTGGCATGTGATGCACACTGGTCCCAAACTGTTAGCCTTAAGTAACATATGGCATTATGTTGCACACTTTTGCTTCTTTCCATTCATAGGCAAGGATGTTGCCAGATCTAACATTTTGTTATGAGTTTTGCTCTTTATTTCTGTATTGTTGTTAGACAGTTTCTAAGATATCTTTCTAACTGCTCTCTGTTCTTAAATACAATTGGCTTCACATCCACCCCATCTGCTCTTGCTGTCTGCATTCCTTAGTGTATGATTCCTAACCATTCAGTAATTTCAATCACTCCTATTTGCAAATTGCTATATGCCTATTTGCCATGGTGTACAGGTTTATTGTCATGATAATGACAAATGCTGAGAACTTTACAATATCTCTTTATTCTCATCTATATCTTCAAAATGTTTGCTGACTACACAATTCATTGGCTATATGAGAATTGATAAGTCTGTATACAAATGATCCATTTGTGCATTGAGGACCCCACTGTGCACTTTCAGCACATTTTGTATTTGAAACACAATTCTTAAAATGCTTGTAGACTGTATTCCTTGTGAATATGTGTTCATCATTCCTTCATTCATTGTGTACCTTTTTGAATTCTGAAAAAAATCTACTGCATAAATGTCAAGGTTCACTCTGTTACAACTGTGATTATAAAAAGGTGAACACAAGTCTAGAACTCCCAAAAATTAAAAGGTATTTTCAAAGCCAAATTAAAATGTGTGTGCCTTTATGAATAATAAAATCTTTATAACTGCAATGACTTTTTCCAGTGCATTTGTCACAGCAGTGTGAAGACCCAATCGTACATGCTGGTTCTTCAGCCCACTCAGAGAACAGTTCATTTAACTGACTGGCAATCAAACAGAAACAGTTCTTTATTCCGAGTCTTATGAAGAAAACAAAATTAATTTCATAAAGAATATATTATTTATGAAACCAAGCAATATTATTCACTGAGATGAATAATATTTTATTATTTTTTTTAAAAAAAAAAAAAAAGAATGTGCCAGATCATACAAACAAAACCAAGATATACAAATTACCTAACTGTGTACTGGCTTATCATTGATGTATGTCTTTCAGTGATGACTGAACTATTTTCTATTTACTTTCACATAAATCTGTGTTGAAGTTATGGCAACTTGAACAATGTTAATTAACTCACATCATATACATAGTTGCTTCATTCTGAACAGCTCTGCAACTTGAGTAAGAACTATCTATTTTCTAGTAATACAATACTTATTTTTTTTCCTGAAAAAGTATTTCCTTCCTTCTATAATTTTTCTTAAAATATATTTATCTGAAATCAAAGTGTATCATCACAACAGAAATATTCCTAATATGGGCAATCAGAACATACTTAGAAGTCCTGTGAAAATAGCATTACTTTGAAGAGTGTTCTCTATAATTTAGAAGTTATACAGCATGTTATATAGCACCATGCCCACTAATTAATTTTCAAAGAGTGTCTACATTTTTTTCAGCAGTTCTGATTTGATTCAGTCCTTCCCTGACTGGCTTCAATCTTGTTTAAAATTCTACTGCCTACGCAGCATCTTACCCTGCCTACTTTCCTTTTTGTCCATTTCTTATTATCATTTCACCTGTTTAATTTCCATTTTCCTCGCTTTTCTATTTTCTGCTCTCTGAATTTCTAAGCTATACGTAGTGTACTGTACTATGTATGCAGTACATCCTTTTCCCCTACATTATATATGCCCTGTCTGTTTTCATTATAAAATTTTCAGGGTGGATACTATCTATGTCTGTTTTTTTGTTTGTTTGTTTTTTCAAGAGTGTTCCCTTTGTCGATCAGTCCCCATACCTAAACAGAACTGAACTTGATAAATAATTTCTCTAAAAACACATGAAAGAGATCTTCCAACTTTCACACACACACGCAAGTCTGATTTTATATATATTTGTATATGTATTACATATAAAATCAAGACATTTCTTTTGAATGGGGCAAGTTGGTGAGGAAAATAAATGAATGACAAAGTTTCCCCAGGATTCTGATATCTAAATTATCTGGGTGAAGCTGACAGTGTGTTTGTAGGGGAGAATGGATGACAGAATCTCTTGAGATGCCTACAAGCTACATTTTCTATTATTTTAGGCAGGGGATTTTCTCATTTAAATATAGGTCACGCTCTTTTCTGTAATGAAGCCTTAGAAAAGTATAAGGCTTTGTAACTGAAATAATATTAAGGAAAAGTTACAAATAAATATATTTTGAATAATGTGTTGATTATCCATCACAGTTTCAGAGTTCAGAAAAACAGTAGCATGGGGGCTTTTGTTGTCATTTGTTTTTGCTTGTTTGTTTTCAGTCACTCAGTCCTGAATAAGCTGGTATGTCTCAGATGACTCAGTCCCTGTATTCATTACTCCAGTGCAGGGAAAAAGTTATAGATGTAACTTGGTTCCATATGCACTGTAAATCAACACTTACTTTAATAGTACTATAATGACAGCAAATGGACATATTAAGTCCTACAGCATCTCACTTCTTTGCTTTTTAGTAGCTTGCTGATGCATGTCATAAACAATATATGAGAATCATGTGCCTTCCTTTTATAGGGAAAATATGCAGAATGGGCTAAAACGTTCAATAATGCATTACAAAACTGTGCTGCTTAAGTAAAATTGTATTATACTATCTGGCCATAAGAAAAAAAACGTTAGGCATAATAATTCATTGAAATGACTACAAATATCTACTGAAAAGAACAATGTTAACTCTGCCTGCTCTACAAGAATTACTAGAATTCTATTATAATATTAACATACATCAAAGTTAACTGTGAGACAACTGTTTTTTCATTTTTGATTTTAAGGAGTACTAGTTTTTTAATAAAATTGACATTTCAAACAATTGCATCTGGAAAAAAAAAATCACATTTCCACTAACAACAACGAAAAGAACATTACAATGTTCTGAAAATTTGGCATAGTGGAAACAAATATGGAAAAACTTTTGGCTGCTGACAAACCTTTCTGACAGGTACAGATCACCTATTACAACAATTTCTGGTGATTGCTCGCTGTGTGAACTGTAAGGGAAGGCTGGTGGTCTTAATTTAACTTCCTCTCTAATGACAGCCTCTACATTGCCATATGACCATTGCGTACTCAACCTACCCTAACCCAGCACTACACGGCTCTCTTCTGCTGACTCCTTTCACTGTCCTCTTAAATCCCAGCAAATACATTCAGCTTCTCACCCACATGAAGCACATACGCTGTATATTCACTCTCTTACCCATGGTTTGTTCAGGACTTTATCCTAAACCACAAGGGAAGGCATGCTTTCAGGCTTCACCATTAAGTAGCATATGCAACTCAGCTTATACCCCTTGCCAGTATAGAGGTAGATCCTTACTCTACAGCCCCTACTCAATGTTCTGTTTATGCAATAGCTTCAATAGCTTGAAGTTTTGGTGAAGTCTGGACTGCCACTTATGGTTGGTGGCATGCGCAATCACACAGCATGGAAGTTGCTGTGTGGCCTATTGAACAGCATGGACTAACTATAAAAAGCTGCCCTACAAATGAAAGAGTAATACTCAATGAACTTTGAACCTAAAGAAATACAGAAAGAAACTTCTGGAACAAGAATAAAATTGCAATCAGAAAATAAGCACTGGACAGAGAAGGATTATTAAAATCCAAATCAGGTATAGTATTATTCACATAGCAGTAGTAAATGACAGCAAGATACTGAAGCCATAAAGGTCTGAATTTCCATTTATACGTGATTATAAATATAGAGCAGCATGATCTGAATTTAGACTCCTGCCTTTGCCAAGGCTATGATCCCCAGCATGATTCAGCTTGTATAACCTTTTCTCCTCCATTCACCTTCCTCTTTTCTTTTTCTCCCTGGGACACCAGATTTAGTTTACAGGCTATTAACAGCATTTGGACTTAGTTGCTTTCCATTTCTGTTTAGGGTGACTTAGGGTGATTTCAAGCAAAAACAATGGTAAACCTGGTCACAGCAGAACTCATGTAACCCACCCATTTTCTTCCTCCCCCATATGCTGATGCAATCCTATCTCATGGCCAGAAGCAATTTAACCTAAGTGCTTCTGATTCTCAGAGCATGTCGGCAGTGCCAGATAGGTCTACTAGTGCCAGATAGTGTCTACTGGCATTTTAGCACCCTATTGAATAGGGACCAAATCTCCCCCAAATTGGAGGCAGTAATTAATCACAGACAACACCTACTTACTTAAACAAAACAAAACAAAAACTTATTTGAATAATAGTTGAACAATTCCCACCCTCCATCCATGAAAACTGTGTTAGTTATGTTCAACTTATTAATGTTATTGCATGCAAAAATCACATTTAAATTAAAAGAGAAATATGGGCACAGGAGCCAAGACAGCCCCACAGCTGCATGACCCTAACAACATCTCCAGATGCACCTCTGTTGCTTGCCAGTAGCAAAACTGGAAAAGGAGCCAGCAGAGGTGACACCAAGGAGTTAGCAACAGACCCACATGCTGCTGCTAGAACAAGCATTTCAGAGTTTGGCATCTGGTCCCTACTTTTGCCAAGTATGCCCTGTTTGTTTCCACAGCTGTTAAATGTGTTTGCTCAGAAAGGAAAAAGCAGAAAGAAGAAAGAGCAGCTAGAGATATACTACTGACTGCAGAAAGAAATATGAAGCCAACATGCAATTTACTCCCAGATAACAATTTTCTTTAGAAAATGTATTGCTAGCTATTAGGACAAGTCTGAGATATTCTTAGATGAAATTCATGCATAAATTCATATGGCATATTTATGTTTATATCTTCAAAACACTGTGGGCAATTATCACAGGGTTAACAAATACATTTGCTGTAAACAACTTTTCCCCATTTTCTATATATGTTTTAAATTACCTTGTAATAATCTGTTCCATCCAGCAGAGAAAATTATTTTAGGCAAACTGAAATCTGCAATAGTTCCAATTTACCTGAAAGTAAAGGAATACAAAATTAAATAATAACGTAAAGTTACATAACTTGTTACAAATACTCGTGAAGCATACATGTATTTCATGAAACAAAACAGTGATTAAAAATTAAAATCACAGTTTACACTCCTGAATAAATTTAAAGAACCTTATTTTGAGACAACAGCTCTAGTTTTCTAAAGCTTAACTCATTTTAACTCAAAAGATTTAAAATTAAACTCTTAAATTAAAAAAAAAAAAAAAAAAAAAAAAAAATTTCATTTAAGTGAATTAAGGACCTCTAAAAAAAAATAGTCTTCTGTAAGACCAAGCAGGGTAAGCACATCATTTCAGATTGCAACACATGCCAGATTCAGTTTCTGGCTAAACCATATCAATTTCTTTGCTTTCAGCTACATTTTAACCTTCACAGGGGAGTAATTTATGGTCTGATTAGCACAGCTGACTTCATTTTACACCTATGAAAGCAAGTCTTGTTAATATAGTTAAACAGAATTTATATTCATGTAAAATCAGGCCTCTGGATGTTTGTAAAACACTAATTTACTCAAATGCAGTTGCTCTTAGGTGAGATATACAGATCCTTTGAAACACAGATGTGAGCTAAAACCTGGTCTCTCATGCTAAGACATTAATTTAGAGCTGTGACAAAATCAACTACATGGATTCTTTTTAAGTCTTTGCTAAGTTGAATTCTTTTTTTAAAAATTGGAAGGTTAGAAGTCATACTGTATATTATATCTCTGCTGTAGTTCCCCTCACAGTTTTATCCATTCCATATTAAAAATATTTATTTCCTTTCTTATTCCCATGAAATTTCTATAAAACAAATTATAAAATAAATTAGTTTTCTATAAAACTAATGAAATTTCTATAAAGTCAGTTTCACAGAGTTTTACTAGTTGATAGGAGAACACTAGGAAATAACTCAAGAATTTAGTTTTTATTTCACATTATGTTCCAATTGGGGAAAAAAAAAAAAAAAAGAATATTCACAGTAGAAAATGTTTTATCATCAGGCTTACTATGATACCAGCACAAACTAAAGAGTTGATGCCATTTTAACTAGCGTATTATAAAGACCAGTTCTGACCAACAATGATCTGTCTTCACCAGTGCACTGAAAATTGTCATCCCTGACAAGACCCGAATCCATGAAGACAAATTTGGAGAGCTCCCAAAAGGTGGTGGCTGAAAATTGACCCTTTCTACCAGAGCATTGTCAGAAGTGATTACAAAAAGTTCCTTGCTATAAACTGTAACAGGGAAATCCAGACCATTAGAATTGCAATGAAGAATCTAAAGAATCTTCAGTAAACAAGAGACTTAACTGAGTGTATTCAGCTCAACCGGTATAATGTTTTCCTCTCTTTCAGCTCAAACAGCCAGTATTTTATTTTATTTTATTATTTTATTTTACCTAAGACTGCAACATGCATAAGGCCACCCACAATTCACTCTCTTTACACAGGAGTTGATAGTAGTAAATACTTATCATGTAGCATGCAAGACTATGCATATTTTTTTATCTACTATGGCCTGGGTTCATATCCAGTTCTGGGAAATGAACCAAGACCACATTTGCACAATCAGAAATAGGTACTGGTATGCAAACCTTGAACTGTTAAGTATTTTTTGCCAGGTGTATTATGAGGATACTTTGTGATACTGGGGAGGGTTCCAGGTTAAATCGATGATTTAGGTACTTCAGGCAGAAGAAAATCTACCTTCATGTTCTTTCCTCACGTAACACTGATTTGGAACAATTATCATGATGCAATTTTTGTTGTTCAACAGAGTCCACAGTTGGGACTACTTATGAAACCACTTTTTTATTCAGAGGTAGCTTGAAATTCTATCTCAAAAGCATATTGGAGAGCTGGTTAATACAAACATTCTTAGGAAGGAAAGCTCCTTCATGACTGGAAGTTGGTGGTAATTTTTATTTATTTATTTACCAATTTAATTGGAGAGCTGGATTCAACTGCTGTTCTTCTAGCACAAGGTGAGGAGTTATAATATTCCTTCTGTTCTGAAGAATAACTTCTCAAAATGTCAAAGTCTTCCCTAAAACCTGGTATTTTATTATTCTATACATAATTATGACATTTATTGCTATTTTGACACCTGTTTGCTCCTTTACACACCTGTGTCCATGTGTAATATAAATTGATTTATAAATGTTCCATAGAAGGTATGAATCTATAGAAGCAAATTCAGGAGGCCCTTTAGCATTTCCATAAACGTGCACATACCTGTATACAGTAATACCTAAGTGCTTAACTGAAATGGTCAATTTTTTTGTTCTTAAACCACATACAGCTCATAATGTATTAAACTCATGTTTGTGGAACTGTCAATACTGTCAAGTAATCTGAAATCCTGGCTAGTGGAGGAAGAGCGCTAGCAAGGTCTGCTGAAGGTCATCCACCCAAGATGATGTGTCCTACATATTTTAATTATGAAGATTTCGGTGTAAAGTGAAGTTTCAAGAGGCTTCTCAGCATTGTGAAGAAAGTTATGGTATTTTTTGTTTGTCTGTTTGTTTTTGGTTTTCTACTTTGCCCTGGCATGGGAGGCTTGGGCTACCTCAGTCCATGTAAGGCTTTGTGGTTACAGAACAGATATGGATGGAACTAGGACAGGCTGTCTGGAAGGGGAACAGTGAGAGAAGATTCCTCTGACCCAAGGTGAAAAGAAAATGTGGCTATGGTGACTATGCTGCTGCTTCAACAGTAGGTGCTGGTACACAGACCCAAACCCTGACTTCACTAGTTTCCTAGAGCCTGATAAAGACAGAAGAGGAACAAACAGGCTTGTGACAGACTTGCCTAAAGGCTGTCTGGCCAGTCCTGGGTAAAAGCTGCAAAGAGTCACGAAGGTTAGGCACTCCTCCTTTAAGGGCAATGGACAATGCCCTGACCTGATGCTGATAAAGGTTAGGCAGTGTAGGCAGATTTAGTTTTTTAATTATTTATTTTTTTAAAATCACAAAGAGCTGAAGTTGGACCAATGAGTTAAGTGAAAAAAAAAAAAAGTACAAAGGAAGAGTTAGTGAACTTTTTTCCTTTTACTGATATGTCCCTAGCTATTGCCTCTCAGTTTTCTGTCTGTTGCAAAAAGTTTAAAGTACATCTTTTGCTTTTGTTTTCCATTCAGCTGATGATAAAAAAGACATCAAATGTCATCAGATGTTCTATATTGAACAGGTTTTTGGTCAATGGGGGACAGAACATTAGCAACATCAGCAAAACACATTTAAGGTAGTAAAAATGATTGTGTTGTGAAATCTTCTCAGGGAGACCCCTGCCTCCATTTGATATGCAGTCATGGTTACTTACATTATACATCTGGGCATCTAATTTTAAGGACAGGCTAGAACTGTCTTTTTTTTGAAGCTTATGAAGTTTTAACTGCTACAGATAGTATCAACTCAAATTATTATTTCCATTCCAACACAGATTATAGAACAAGAGAACAAAAATGGAAATTAAAAAATAAATTCAGCACATATATCAGAAATCACCTTTTCATGTAGAGAATAATAAATGCCTAGAATAGCCTGCGGGCAAAACTGTTGAGGCAAAAAGTGCCAGTGTCATTCAAGAAACAATTAGATATCATCCTTGGGGAAACAGACTGTTAAAAAGAATATGTCTTAATGGACCAAATGACCTTTATTCATTCTCCAAAATTCTCTCATGTTCTTGCAGTTCTGTTGAAGAATATTTCAGCAAGTTGGCCTCAAGCAATGTCAATTCTTTCTTGAATTATTCTGCTCATTGGTTCACTACTGAGGTTGATCCTTTCTTACACTATAATAATGAAAACAATGGCCAGTCCTGTATCATGACAATACTACGACTATATAACAAAAACTCATTTTCAGTCCCATGATTACCAGTCTTGTACCCAGACTAACTACATAAAGTTTTTCAAACATTTGGAAAATGAATAAACAACAAAAATCCCTCCCTCCCAGGGCTCTAAAATTAACCATAAGAAAAATAGCTCTTCTCCACTTCCGGACTTCATGCACATAGCATGCACCTAGTAGACAAAACACGTTTAGGGAAACAAGAAGTTAAATTTGCCTCAGAAAACTAAGCAGATTCATGAAAGTCCTTGTAGCTCTCCAGTGGTTGCTGTGATAAATAAATCTTTTTATGTTTTAAGTTATTGCTGAAAAATTTCAGATGTTTATTCTGTTTTAATACAATACAGACAAAAATAAATATAATATTAAGCATCCATAATGGATTGTCTGTTTATTGGAAAAGTATATCACACTTTAAACTTTAATTTTAAGGGAATAGCTTATAGAAGTGTAATCACTTCTGTAAGGAAGGAAAAGCATAGTTTATCTCTACTGATATACAGTGTTAAGCAGAAACAATAGAATTGGCTACAAGGAACTTTGACATCTTACCCAGCTGGAGAAAATCTAGTGGTATCTGTAAAACTGTATTTTTCTTTTGTACTTTTGACTTGACTGTTACACACAAGTCACATGACCTCTGGACTACTTTGTTTTTTCTTCCCTTGTCCATAATTTTATGAGTTACCTTGGAGTTTGTCTGCTCTTTGCAATGAAATGAAAATTCATACTGAATTTGCAACAGCAAAGAAAAAGGTATAGCTGGAACTCTATCCCCAAAGACTGCCCCTACATATCACAAACCGAAACTCAAGAGGACCTACATGTCAGGAGTGCAATCTTAAAAGCTGCAGAACTGTTGAAAGAAGTGGGTGTTTACTAACATACTGTAATCCAAGTCAGAGTAAATTACACAAATATTTAACACTAACAAAAGAGAAAGGTACTGACATTTTACAGATTTTTGCTAGATGGTACAGATTATCAAGCAAAAAAAAAATCACAATTTAGTTTAAGAAATTTATCAAGACTGCTGTTATAAAAAATAAATGCTGAATCCACAATATACGAAAAATAACAAATTATATGGGTAATTTAAAATGCAAGAAAATTAATCATTCCAAGTTCTTCAAATTCCATTGATTTGACGAACTTAATACACAAATGCTCTTCAGCAATAAGTTATTTTTTTAACTGTTGTAGCTTACAAATATGTTGACACTTTTAGTATTTTATAGCTTTGAAAAATTAAATTGAAGTTTAATTACATGGAGACATCAAACCATTACCTTCATTGGGACATTATTGTACATTAGTGCATTGAAATATTCAAATTCTGTCACAAATACTATTTATTGTAGAAACATAACAAGTAAGTGTTATTGGAAAAGACAGAAATGCTAAGATTTGAATTTTTAGAGACTCCTTTTGAAGGTAACTATTACTGTGCATGCAGGAATGTAACGTTAACATCAATTACCAGGAGTTCTGAAAACAAGAATGCCACT